GAGGGGAGGTTGAAACATGTGCTTCTTTCGTAGTTCCTGTAAAAATATTTCCCTAAAGATGGTATTTGGCAGTGGCACGACGGCGACGGATGGCTTCGGCGACGGCGGACAGTTGATCACGGTCGTCAGCGGCGGCGGGCCAGCGCGACGACAACGGTCAGAGGCGGCACTGGTGGTCTGCGGCGGGCTATCGAGCAGGCGGCGTGACGACTGTGGTCGGTGTCGGCAGCGGTGGCGCATCAGTCCAGTTTTACAGAAATGTTTAGGGAAAGGGTCATCCCCCTCAATGAATGGGGGTTGGGCTGATTATACGAAGTCCTTTATTATTATTTTTCGTTTTTATGGGAACTGTTGGAGCATTTTTTTTGCCCAATTCCCCCTAAACTAGAAAATTTTACGGGAGAAGGGAATTGTTGGTGATGCTCTTACTTTATAAGTGCGATAACCACATTTAGTCTTAAACATGCTAAACATGTATTTGTTATTATACAGTAATGGTAATGGGTATATCATTAAATATTATATTTTAGACCCCTTATATTAAGCAAAGGGATTTCTTGGAATATTTTCCCTTTGTTGATCGAGGTAATCAGGGCAAAAAAACCACATTACTTATTATACACAAAATTTTAAGGAAGGGAGAACCTATAATTTAGCTGTTGGTACTTTCTTAGGCATATAGATATATTAGGCCTCAAAATATATTAGGCCCTGACAACCACTAAATTTGATCGATCAGGCTGAAAATGTTTTTTTTTACCCCCAATAACATGATGACGTTCCCTTAGGGAGGTCGCCTGAGCAAAATATTATTCCCCCATCCAAGTAGGAACGAACGAGCGTTTTCAATCGCTAAAAAACACTCCTAGCAAATGCTCCAGAATTGTCATGCGAGAACAGATAAATTCGCCATGCTGTTACATAAGGTTTACCATGTTCTAAAGTAAACTTGTCATGTTGTATAAACAATTGTCAGAAATTTGCAATGTTGCAGCAGAGTAATTGCCGTTTAGTCATGATTATTGCATGGAGAATTGCCGGCATAAAAAATAAATTAGTGAAAATTGCCATGCTGATTGAATGAAACTATCATACTATATCAATGGAAAAAGGTAAAAATTGCCATGCTCTTATAACAAAAGTGCCATCCCCAAATGCGTTTGCTCATATTGCCGTCCTAAACGAACCATTACTGTCATCATCTCGTAGTTCGTTCAGAGGGTGTGGTCAGAGGGAACACTTTAGGATTTGTGCTCGGGATCTGACTTGAATGAGGGTGTTCGCTTAGTATATCCTTAAAAGATCTGACGTCAATTTTTTAACAATTTTTTTTCAGTTGAACTCAAGTTATCTGTTTTTTGCCTTTATGTTTTCCTTTGGTGGAATGTGCTCAAAGTAGTGCTTCATTGGAACATGCTACAAACTCAAAGAGTTTATGATAATAGGACCTACAAACATAATTTACAAGCATGCTTCGATTATTGCAAAGCTACAAACACACATTATGATAATACTAGTACTCACAAAGCTACAGATAATTTACATTCATGCTTCGATTATTGCACGAACATCACACGTATAACCATTACAAACACACATTAATCCTGATCCTGAAACAATTAACACACTAACACTACTAGAAGTTCAGCAAATACAGAGGTCACAAATCACACAACCACCGGTTCCACGCTCCCATGGCGCGACTCGTGCGGCAGCGGCTCCGGCGCGGACGGGAACATCAGGTTCTGATGCACCACCGCCGCGACGGCCGCACCGATCATGGGACCGGCCCAGTACACGGCCTGGTTCTTGAAGTCGCCGCTGACAACCGCCGGCCCGAACGACCGCGCGGGGTTCATGGACGCGCCCGTGAGCGAGCCCGCCGCCAGCACGCAGGCGCCCGTCATGAACCCGACCACCAGCGCACCCAGCGCTGTCGTTGCGAGCCCCTTCCTGCCTTGTGCGCGAGGGTCGCCGGCGACGTGCACGGTGTACACGAGCAAGAACGTCATCACCCCCTCCACGATCGACGCGCCGAACCCGGTCATCTCCACCGCGATCCTCGTCGTCGGCACGGCCTGGACACACAGACATAGGCACACACGGGTGCGAGCACTCTGAGACGCATGACTAGGAGTTGCATACTTGCGGAAGTGATCGATCGATGGTAATGGACGTACCTGGCCGGCGGAGAGGAAGTGGAGGACGAGGCAGGCGAGTGTGGAGCCGAGCAGTTGGCACGTCCAGTAGAAGATGGCGGTCGGGACACCGATGTTGCCGCCGATGGCGAAGGCGAACGTGACGGCCGGGTTGACGTGGCCGCCGGAGACGTCGGCGGCGATGAACACCGCGGCGAAGAGCCCGAACGACTGCGCGACGGCGGTGGCCACCAGAGACGAGGCGTCGGACGTGACGTCGGGCGTGAGCATCCCTGGCAGACACATTCCCCAAAGAAGCGCGCGGTTAGTAAAACCATGAGCACGTGCGAACGAGAGCATGAACTCACACTGCCGCGCGCGTGGACGCGGTGAAGTATGTCGACGTACTGGCGGAGATGGCGGAGCCGACGGCGGTGAACACGAAGAGGAAGGTGGAGATGAACTCGGCGAAGTAGGACCGGAGGGACGGCGGCGAGAAGCAGTGCTTCAAGCGCATGCCGAGGTTGGACGCCATTTCTACAAGTTCGAGCGTCTCGAGACTCTCGGCGCAGTGAAAATACAGGGGAATTTGCACGGATGAACTGCTGAGGAGTAGTTTCAGAGGTTATAAAAGAGTGAGAGGGACGCGACCGTAGAGCGAACCGGCGCCCCCGCGCCAGGGCAGTTTCCGGCGGTTGCCGCCGCGCGCCCGCTCCAAGTTCACAAGCAACCGTCAGAGGCGTGGCAGGCCTCCACGAATTTGCCACAAAGATTTCGGAAAACGCAGAACCGTTCATGTAAGATCGAGTAGTTGTCTTACATTTTTACATTTTGATTTGAGATGGATTAAAATGGAAAAGGGAAATTCACACAAGGGGAAACAGCAACGAGCCAAGGAAGCTAGGTTGTTCGGATCGGTGCACTTCACGGGTACTCCTGGTGGCCGACCGGCTGGTAGGAGGCGATGAACACGTCGCCGTAGACGAGCCCGGCGAGGCCGCCGCCGATGAGCGGCCCGACCCAGTACACCCAGTGGCCGGAGAAGTTGCCGGCCGCCACGGCCGGGCCGAAGGAGCGCGCCGGGTTCATGGAGCCGCCGCTGAAGGGCCCGGCGGCGAGGATGTTGGCGCCGACGATGAAGCCGATCGCCATGGGCGCGATGGTGCCGAGGGAGCCCTTCTTGGGGTCGGCCGCCGTGGCGTACACCGTGTACACCAGCGCGAAGGTGATCACGATCTCCATCACCACGCCCTCGACCTCGCTGATCCCGGACACGGCGTGCGTCGGCATAGGCTGCACGTACATAAAAGGCCAGTGAGTACTTTTCACGGTGTGAGGTGGCAAGATTTGTTGCACACGTGGTTCGTAGAAGGTTCTCTGAGTTGAATGCCAACCTGGCCGTGGGTGACAAACTGCAGGAGGAGGCATGCCACGGTGGCGCCGAGCAGCTGGGCGACCCAGTAGAAGAGCCCAGTGAGGATGGTGACGTGGCCGCCGACGGCGAGGCCGAACGTGACGGCGGGGTTCAGGTGGCCGCCGGAGATGTTGGCCGCCATGGCCACACCGACGAAGAGGGCGAAGGCATGGGCGATGGCGATCGCCACAAGGCCAGCGGGGTCCAGCGCGCCACCCTGCGTCAGTTGCCCTGCACAAGAAGAACCTCTTTGGTTAGCCATGGAGCAAGCCAGAACCGCAGGACAGATCACCAGCTAGCAGGAGAGGCTCACCGTAGGAAATGGCGGACCCGACGCCGGCGAACACGAAGAGGAGGGTGGCGATGAACTCCGCGACATAGGATCTGACGGACGTGGCGCTGAACGAGTCGCCCAAGCTTCCAAATGCAAGCTTCACCATCTTGCACTCGACTGTTTTCTCAACGAGGTCTTCAGGCTAAGAGTTCGAACTCTGCTCTGATGGATGGCCTTCCCTCTAATTTGGCGCTCTTTTTATACACGTGAGATGGCACTGATGGCCCCATACGCCTGCCTAAAACACGCATTACAATATCATGGGCGGTGCTAAATGATCACCACAAGTTTAATGATGTAAGCATTAATGTTATTTTGTTGTTGATTTCGGCCGACCAACCACTCTGCTCTGCTAAACTTTTTTTTAGGGCAACTTTTTGTTTGTTGCAATTGTTTAGGCAGGAGCCACGTTATGATACAGCACAAGACAGTGTGGAGAAGGAAGCCCCTGCTCTAAACAAATTATTGGCGGTGCATTGGCACGGCTGATGAACTGTTTTCTATGTAAGGTTTGTGTCCTTGCGTCTATCGAAATTAGGTGAGATCATTTGAATGATTTGAACTTGCGAATGTTTTTTTTTTCAGGAAAAAATTCTGATCTATCCATGAAGCATCATGTCAGTATAAAGAACAATAGAAGTAAGAGAAACCTTACATCCAGGATCATAGACCACCTAGTGACGACTATAAGCAAGCGAGCCGAAGACGTGCCGCTATCACCGCCTCTCCCACACCGAAGCTAAGGCAAATCTTATTATAGTAGATAGACGGGAAGTTATTGTGCTAAGGCCCCCAACGGACCAGCATACCAAAACAGCAACTGTCGTCGATAAAGAAAAGCGTGGATCAGAATGATCCAATCTGTAGACACATGAACATGCATGAATGAATATTGGTCCATACGGATCCACCGAAGACAAACACCTATCGAATCCCACATGATTCGTCGGAGACACACCTCCACACGCCCTCCGACGATGCTAGATGCACTACCGGGGCAAAGGCTTGCTAGGAAGAACCTTATTCCATATTTAGGAAGCCGACATCACATCTCCTTCATGAGCAGGATACATACCCTAAACAAACTAAAAAAACACCTAAAACATAGCAAGAGTCCTCCCACCAGCAAAGGCTGGGATCCACTGGCCCTCCATGGCCCTAAAGTCACAAGAGGCGAGGCAGATCGTCGGCGTGGGCGTGAAAACCCTAGTTGCCACAGTCGCTCGTGGGGAGGAGGAGGCCCTGTACCTTGACCGTAAACTTGTGAATGTTACTTTTATGTTTTTCTGGATGTTATGGTTCTTATAAGGAAAAGGTTTCATATCAAGCACAACCTGCTTCGCTCTCTTCCCTTGGCGATGGAAGTGGCAGTTTCTACCCTCCTTTCGGCGCCGGCGAGGAGGTGATCTCCACCCCTCTTTATTCATCGCTCTAGCGACTGGTGAAGGGGAGTGGGCTCCCATTTCACTTCTAGTTGGTCCATAGATTTAGGGTCTCGTCTTCATCTAGTAGCGCCCGTTTGGTGAGGTTGATGCTACTCGGATAAGGTGTCTTCGGTCTCTTCTCACCACAGTGACGTTCTCTAAGGCGACAATGTTGAATTGATGGCCTCGTTTGCTCATTGTTCGTTCAGAGTGGTGGGATTTATATTTTCATGTGTCAGGCGGTTGTTTCCGTTCATGGCAGCGCTGACTAGTGGGATATGTTGGTACATGTTCAAGGTTGGTGGCATGGCAATGGATCTGGCATTCTTCCCCGGCAACAGTGGTGGGCTGCGTCAAATCTGGATCTACGTTGGCGTGGAAACGTTCTCGGCCAACACGCCACACCGCCTAGTGTTTGTTCTGTGGGTCTGGTTGTAGGCTCTCAATGCCTTCAAGGCTATGGCATTGTCCTAGATTTCGGTTTGATGGTGTTCCGTATCGTCCTCTGGTGTGTGTCTGGGCGGCGCACGCGGTCGACGATGGTTCCAGATCTGGTTTATTGAAGGGATCCAAGGAACTTATTTGTAATATTTTTTATTTGAGGTTCTTTCTGTAAAAATTTCTAGACACCTTTCATGTCGTGCCTTTCTCATCTATGTTCAGTTGTACTTCTATTTATTAATTAATATAATGTGGTATGTTAAAAATAGTTATAGATCAGGCGACCAATTACACAACTGGTCGGCCGTCGCCCTCAAGCACCACGTTAACTCCACAAGCCGATGTTTCGATACCTACCGCTGTAAGCATAGATTTTTTGAACACAGTACAATCGAAGTCGCTCACATACATGAGAACACACTCGTCTTTATGAACGCACGCATGTGCACCTTACCCCTATGAGCACCTTCGAGAGACCGAGCCGGTATATCATCTTAAGATTAATGAAGTCATCATAGACGCTTCGTAGTCGACGGGAAACATGTTGTAAGCACAGACTTAACCATGTGAAAACTAATGTCTGAATTTCTTGTTCTTACACTTGAGCTATGGTTCCTGCTCTGTAGTGTATGGGTGCCCTTGTCCATGAAAATTTTCCATTTTTATGTAAAAGCTGTCTGATGGTCGAAATGAATTATTATATTCTGCAAAATATCCCATATATTTCGATAACGACGTTCCGAGTTGATTGTGTTGTTTGAATACTTTTACAAGTTCTAATTTTATGTGCGCAGGTTCTTAGCCTCAGCTAAAGGTGAGAAGATGTGGTCTGCTGGTCTTTCCAACTTTCTTTGATTATTTGGAAACGTACCGATCAAAGCTTTATTATGGGCATGATGTAGCTGTCTGACATAAATCTGTGTTAATGGTTTTGCAAGATAACTTGTCTTGATTATCCTGGATTATTTTGCAGTCTCTTATAATGCACCTAATTGTTTGAATATTTGGCAACCCTCTGTCATGAAGATAATCATGTTTGCTTGTGGTAAGATGAATGAGGTCATAAAGATGTGAACCAGGAATTCTGTGTGTTAATTACAACTTTGACTGAAGTCGTAACAATGATAATTCCTGTGCTTCAGTCCCTCATCAAGTCAATGAACTTTGCCATGCACTCATGCAGGTTTCAGTTATGCTTGTAATGTTCTGAAAGGAAACAGAGCTGCGAAGATTTGTCTTCCAAGAGAAAGGAAATTGAGAAGATTTGCACTGTTCATGGATTTATGATGAATGCTGGCTGTCCTGTTTGGAAACCTCAATGAGTGAACTCTCCTTCTTTCCAAACGCATGTTGCAATGTGAGCTTCCATTGTTGTTGCTTGTCTGTGATGGATTCCTGATGAATGTTGACTGTCGAGAAACGCATGTTGCTATTTTGGGTCTTATGATGACTTGTGTCAACCTGTGTGAGCTGCCAAAGAGTACTCAACTTCGTAGGGATGAACGTTCTAACACTGGTTCCTTGTTGGGGCCTGCTTGGCTGTGATGGATCATGGAATGCTTTGGAGCTTGCTTTCTTTAGCTAACCTTCAGCCAGTCAGCTTTATGCCTGTGACAAAACCTAGTTTAATTGATTTTGTTGTTGAAATTTAAAAGATTCTGATAGCGAGCCCTCTGATTTGGTTATCATGATGGTGGTAGCTGGAACAAAAATCACCATTAAGACAGGATAGATAGAACCGGTTACAAGGCATATGTGTTGAACTGCATAATAGAATTCCTAGTGTTTAGCGCATCTCCAACGAAGACCTGCAAAACTCCCGCATGTGGTGTCCGGAGAACCTTTGTTTACTTTTGCAATTCAATGGGGACCTGTATCCATCTATGAAGCTGTCCGGACGTCCAAACTCCGGTATTTTAGAGACAAACATGAGAGAGATTTGCCGGAGTCCGGACATGCAATTTACCAATCACGTGGGAGAGTTATGTTCGCGGTAAGGAAAAAGAAGGCTCGCATGTTTGGACAGAGCCTAGATAAGGATGAACCGGAGTCGGACCAAAACGGAATCATTATCTGGCGAACATCAATTAGGTACGTTTTGCCAACGAACCCCTCCTAAACCGCACAATATACATCCAATGGCTGGCATTTTTCGCGACATAAAAAACCTTCCAAAGAAACTGCCCGTGGCGTTCGCAACTGTCACCCTAGTTGGCGAACGTTCGCCAGCTAGCAGGGTCCAAAAAAAAATTCGAGTCAGACCCCAGCATTAAATGCATCCATTTCATAAGCCGCATCCGTCCTTCTCCACGACTCCAACTCCAACTCCGATCCCATCAATATTTGCGATTCGTCTATATAGCCCAGCGACATAAAAGCATCTACAACCGCATTGGACAAATATGACCTCTCAAACACCCGCGGACGCGTCCATGGGCAATGATCGGGCACTCGTCAAATAGCATTGTCCACATCCGTGCATCTCATATATGATCCCCTATATCCATACTAAACCATGGAACGTCGATCAAATTACGTAGATCAGCAAACATACATAGTCAAGCACAATACTTTCACCAAAAGATCATGATCGGATGTTCAACCGACCACCAAAGTTCACATAAATGATGGACAACTTGAAACTACGTCTAAAACTTGAAATTAAATTGAAGCAAAGCGGACCTTCACCACTTCCGGGTCGGCCCCTTCCCCTTCTGGTCGTCGGTGCAGCTATAGCCGCCGGTGGCCGGTGGAGGATCGTCGTTGTCGGAGGAGAAGCGGCTACTAGTGCTCGACTTGGTCAACGCAGTTACCGGAGTCGTCGGAGTGGTCGAATCGGAGGAGAAAGAAGAGACGGATCAAGAATGAAATGGGTTAGGGTTTCTGGATTGAGGATATTTATGAGGACAGGATGGACCGGGCCGACCGGACGTTCCATATCCGTCCCATGTTTGTGCTGGATATGAGGACGCCGGACAACCAGAACGTTTGAGGGCTGTTTGAGGCGCCCTAACACAGCCGAATAGCCACGAGACTCCTTGTGTTGATTGCATTACAGCCGAATAGCCACGAGACTCCTTGTGTTGATTGCATTAAATGCGTCCAGGTCACAAGCCGCGCTCGTCCTTCTTCTCCACGACTTTAATCCAACCTAGACTCGGATCCCAACACTACTTGCGATTCGTCTATATAATCCCGGGACATAACAAGCACCTGAATAATTCAGCCACGAGTCTCCTTGTTGATTCCGTTCGAGGTCGCCCACCATGTCCATGAGCGCCCCAGCCGAGCCGTCGTGGCTCCGCCAGGACCTGCTCCCGCACCTCAGGCTCCCGGCGGACCTGCCGGTGCACTTCATCGCCGAGAAGGCCGTCACCGGCACCGACTTCGACCCGCGGCAGTGTCGGTTCAGCCTCCCGCCCTACGGCGTCACGCCGTCACGCACAACCTGCGCCCCATCCTCACCGCCGAGGAGCTCCAGGCTGCCAACCTGCGGTACGAGGACGACAACGCGGGGGAGCAGGTCACGACCGGGGAGAGGAGGCAACGCGCCGGCGGGCTGCCCGTGCTGGTGGTCGACCCCCGCGCCGGACTCATTGAGCTGCGGCTGTCGCGCGGCGCCCACAGCACGACCCTCAGGGGGCCGGGGTATCTCGATTTCATCAGCGAGTGCAGCTTCGCCGTCGACGACGTCGTCCGGATCTGGGCCTTCAACCCCCACGCATCTCCCTCGGACGTTGAGGAAAGCCCCCTCTATCTTGTCTTCGCCAAGAAACCAACACCCCAAACATGATTGGGTTGAGTTTGAATCAAGGATCTAATCAGATAAAGCTTTGTTCTCTAAATAATTGAAAGGATCGGCTACCGATGGTAAAATTCTTCTGTCTGTCTCAAGACTCTTGATAGCAAGAGAACGTTTGCATGTAGTTCTAGTTTTTTTTTAGAAATATATAGGGCCATTTTTTGGATGTAAACAGGCTGGTAATTATATTTTTGAAAGCTAAAGAAGTAGTACCTCCTACAGCCGTTTTAATTTTACTTTTGTTTGGTATATTTTACAATGTGGTGATTCCACAACAGTGTGACTTCGCTCTGTTTGCACAGATGTTTTCCAATGAAGTAGCAAAAAAAATTAAGTCGATTGAAGTGCTGAGACAGAGCCCAAACCTTGGACATGATACGTTTGTTTTCAAAAGTAGAAAATAAAATGCTCTTTTTGTTAAAACAGCATGCTTATATATAGAATATATCGGATATCTGGGTCAGCACCCTTGAACAGTTTTATTATCTACATTCTGGTTGATTTTAGAACAAAAATTTCGTGCTTCCTATGTTTTTATCTGGACTAACATATAATTAAAACTATCAGTGTTTCTATTTTGAACTAAAACTATCAGTGTTTGTACTCAGTACTTATAGGGGTCACTTAAGTTCTCTGAAGAAGAATCATGTACTAGAAAGCAACAGAAACCATGTAGAAGTAATTCGATCCTAAAGAATGAAGAATTGGGTGCTTGCTCTCTCAAAAAAGGTCGGTACCAGCACAAAAACATAATTTGCATAGTTAATCTGTAAGACATCAGTTTTCTAACAAAGCCAACATCGGTGCAACAACACGGCATACGCACCTTACGACAGAGTATTAGAGTTGCTAGTATTCTGATGGGAAAAGACATGTCCAAGTAAAAGGTTACAGACAAATTGGCGACTTTGAACGCACCAAGTTGGAGGCGGCTCAAGTAGATGCATGTTCAGTTAGGCCTTGTTGCATTACCAGACAATATAAGCATACCAAGCACTATTGCCTACCACACACACACACACACACGAGAAAAAAAAGTAGCAGTACGGTTGCCCAAGCTCAGCAATTAAGAGCACACCCCGTCAGAAGAACAAACTACTCTCCCAAGATAGAAAGAAAGAGGGCGAAAAGAAACAAGCTACAGGTAAGCAAAAAAAAAACGAACCAATGTTGTAATTGACAGCACACCGAAGTCATTCATGTACACATTACAATCACAGTTACAGGCATGACATATATCCAGTTAGTACGTATAGCTCCTTACCGTGGTGGTTTCTTTAATTTAGTTATACGAGATATTAGGCATGCTCCTTACCGTGGCAGTTTCTTCGATTCAGCTAACATATTAACAGAACTAAACTAGAGCGGACAGTATGCAAATTGTTTGTCACCCCTGCCAAGTGCCAACCACCAGAACATCATGAGCTGACGTGCCAAGGATTTACGTCTGCCGTCAGCATCTGTAGTTCCATCATCCTCTTAACTTGCCAAATATGTACTTTCCCTTTGCATTAAGGCCAGGCTCAATTGATCTCCAAGAATTCTCGTTTTCTATCTCAATTGAGATAACAAGTTTCGAGTTTGTATCGTTGCCGATCTGTTCACTGGCACTCTTTGGCAGATACAAGATGATGGCATTTCATGGAAATCATCTCGTCCATGTCTGGGATCATCTGGTTCCCCCATAAGGCCCCGCTGGATTTTCTTTACCTTCCGTGAAAATGTATCCCAACCCGTTTGATTCCGTGTCTGAAATAATACATTGAGCTTTCTTGTGTTTGGGCGAATAGTTCTCTTATGGCCCATGTATCGCCTACAGATTTGATAGGGCATGAAGACCATTAGCATATTAAATGTAGAATCAAACGAGTATAAATAAACTACCACCAACAGACAAAGACACCATATATAGCATTAGGGAATAGGGATAAGATAACTAGGGTGCATGGGCACTGTGGACCGTACCTCAATTCACTTCTTTGCATTTATTGCAATATATTCTATGAAAGTAGTATATTCTAAAAATACCCAAACATATCCAGAAAAAAAGAGGGATGTATATACCTGCGCCCAGCTAACACCTTGGCCATGTTTCCGTTATTATTGGTAACAAAAACATCACTCTCATCACATACAATGAAGTCAACAGCAGCCAATCGTGAAGAAAAAGGAAGGAATGGTTTCAGATCATCCCCAGCAAGCAACTCCTTGGTGTAGAAGTTTGGAAAGAGTTCGCGCAGAGGCCGGAGAGTTTCTTCCCCGCCATATATTTCTCCAGAAGCAACATACAGGTAAGTTTCATTGCCAAAACCAAGAGCTCGCAGCATTAAACCAATTTCATGAGGAGTTAATGGACATTTTCCCCTAGTACGCTCATCCTCAGCACTCAAGTCCTGCTAGCAATAATCAATCTAAAATCATTTCGACACCAACTGACCAAAATCCAATCACTGCAAATATTATAATTTAAAGTAAAATCATCATCTCAAACAGCGTCTTCTTTTGGGGAAATCATACTCAACATATTCTTGTAGGTGCAAAAGAGAAACACAAAACCCAACAAAGAGCCAACAATAAACGAAGTAAAAAGTGATAATTATAGTTATGGACCCATCTGTTGAGAATTATTCGATAGGAAAACCTCATTATCTCACCAAGTTTCAGAGTCTTACAGGTAATGTATCCCACCGTTTCCTAATTTCAGCAAGTTCCTTTCTTTCTTTTTCACCACCACCATAGTAACAGCCAGAAAATGCAAGCATGTCAGGTTCAAACCTAATGACATAACCCAAAATTGATGTTTAGTAAAATATGCGTACTTTCAGCGAAATGTTCATAAATTCCATATAGGGACTATACCTCAAGTGAATGGCGACATATCGTGAGCTCATGACTCTCAACCTTCGCACCAATTTTTTACCCAGAGTTTGTATGGGCCTTTTGAATCTTAATGCATGAAAGTTTACTCGACACCGTAACTTCTGCAATTCTTCATCAAGATCATTCGTGAGCCGATAATCAAACTTCGTGAGCTGCAAAGCCTGCAAAATTTTCGAGAGCTGAGCTAATAGGAAAATGTAGCTGTATTCATATATTCCTCACTAAAACAGAACAGATGACTCACATATCGCTATAATGTTTTCATATATGCTGCCAATTAATACAGCATTTAATATACCTCTTAATAAAAGGGAAATCAGGATGTATTCTCTTAACCAACAAATGAGGCTACCAAGCTGACCATGCAACAGCAAGTAATTAGACAACCAGATGTTCAGGTTATCACACACGCAACTTTGCACTAAAGCAGATGAATAGAATGGTTATCTTGAAATTAAACAAAGTAATAAGTAGAAAGACTGCGAAATGAAATAACTTCTGCCTGTACATGATGACATGCTTGACAAGGATAGAAGCAATAAATAGTAGCATGCACTCGATAAATACAGAATAATATGCAACAAGCCCCAAACAAATGCGCTTGTTTGGCTTACTTACTCTCCTTCGCATCAGAATAGGCAAAACTTCATCAATGTAAAACTCAGGCATGGATTTTCTAGGTGCCCGCATAGTCCATGGAAGTTTATCCATCGATATCATAACTTCATAAGGGATCCTTTTAACAACAGTTACATCCTTTGATAGGTACGATATGAACCAGTCCGTGTCAAAAATATCGGAGAATTCGCTGCAAATAACACACACAGTATGAGGACAAGTACCTGTGAGCAGCAAACAACCATAGAATATGCCATGTAATCTCAAGTTCTTAAATCACCTGTCATCCTTCCAGAATGAGCGGTGGTCTAACTCGGGCACAACAAGTGTGGCATTCAAAATCCAGGCAACAACAACAGCATCTGTTATCTGGAAACTGAAGATCATAATGGTAATATAATGGATAAGAGAAACAAATCAATTACAAGTTGAAAAAAGATTATACCCCTATGCGTTGTTGGTTCAGTCCCCCGCTAGTAGCAATCAGCAAGTAGCCGGTAGAACTGTTCTCCGACACAGCAGCTGAAAGATGAAAACAGAGAAACCTCAAGATTGTAAATTTCGTCGCTCTTCACAATCTAGTTTAAAAGGGGCGGACTTGACTGATCGAGTAGACTAACATCTTAATTTTGGGCTCCTCCCGCTGCATCCATAGTACAAGTTGGAATACCTTGATTTCCAAATATCAATGGGTTCAGTGTTTCGAACCTGCACATTATGAGCAACATAGAGCAATATCAATCGAGAATGCCAGGGGAACTTTGCGATGGATTACACATGAACAGGCAAGAAAGTGACTTAGTAATCTTTCAAACCGACAATTAAAATTTACGATTTGCTAGTTTACAAGGAAAATGGCGAGAGTTTTTCACTCGGTTCCTTCAGTTTGTTTATTTATAGGTTACGATGTGACAGGGGCAGCCATCGGTACTGAATTTTCACTGACCAGAATCAAACTCTTTCTAGAGAAATCACACTCAACAAACCGCGTAAACCAAAACTCATCCACAATTCTGTCGAATTACTATGCAGTAAAATGGCCAAAGTTTCAATCAGTCACCTGATTGGACCGCCACCGGCTCCGGATCCGCGACCAGTCGGCGTCGGTGACGATGTGCCCGGTGAAGAGCGATACGAAGCCTAGGACGAATAGAGCCGTGCCCAGGAACACCGGGGAAGGCTGAGCCCTCCTCGCCGTCTTCGGCGAGGCGGAGCCGCCGCCGTAGTGTGGCTTCGCCGGATCAGGCTTCCTCCCCATGCCGCGCGGTTATCAGGTCGTGCCCTACGGCAGAAACCAGCATGCAGAAACTGCAGCCTGGGCGGCGCCGCCAACGGCAGAGCGCGAGCCCGCCGCGCTAGATCGTGGAGGCGCGGGAGCTCGGGGAGGGGCCGCCCATGGCGAGTGGAGGAAACAACTGTCGTGTGAACGCGGTGCTGAGCGTGACCGTGCCCCAGGGCCCACAGGCAGACGATTAAAGGCCGAAACAGAAAAGGTGGAACAACGCAATGAACTGGGCTGCATCTTCTTCTTTCCTGCTTTTTCTGGATGGGCCGTATGTTGGCCCAACTTTCTTTGTGGCCTACGGTCCGTAGGTGCAACGTTTTTTTTTCTGCAAATTTTATTATTATTTTGTGGCGTCCGCTATTCTGTGACGGCCGCTAATCTTTTTTGAGAAACACGCCACGAGCAAACGCTCACAGACACGTACATACACTACCTTCTCTGAACGAACACACGCACAATCTATTCCTATACCTCCGTGAGATTAAGCTGGCATGTCTTGAGACTGACGAAGCCATCACAGGTGCCTCGCTATCGACGAAAACATCGCCTCTCAATGAAAGAATATTCCTCCTTTATGAGGTACCAAGCAGCTGAACCTGAGGTTTGATCCCTGGTAGCTGAGGTACCATTACACTCATGACCATCAAAGCACAGCTTGGTTTTCGCTTATGGCTGCTAATTGACAGTGCTTAACACAACCGAATAGCGTACGTATCAAACAACTGCCTTAGCTATATCAAGCTCGGTAAATTTAAAAGGTGAGGTTAGTCTTTTTTCGAAAAAATCAACCTATTATAAGTTCATCAGAAGTACAAAGCACCCTATAATGAAATTTACATTAAGATTCCTGGACTATATACGACCACTACCACCAGAACGATCGACGTGCTATTGTTATTACTCATTACTCCCCTACCGAAGCCGCTCTGACCTTGTCGGTGACATACGAGAAGTCTTTGTGCACGTGCCCCTGATGGAGTTAGCGCCCCGGAGTCACAGTCATTGCCGTCAAACTCTTGAATCAATCTGAAGCGTCTAAGATCTCGCCATTGTGTACCCATGACGATAAACCCTGACCTCATCGTCCCAAAGAGACGCCAAGAATCTGCATAGGAGCTCCATCGACTGTCCCAAGGGACGAACCCGAGGCTCAGAGCATGAAAGATCAACTTGAAGATGAAGCCCCACCATCTGCGCGAACGTTGCCCCTGTGTGGACTAAAAAACTCTAACCTAACATGCTAGCTGAAGCGAAGCCAACGGAATTCCCCTCCCCGCCACTGGCTACTAGAACGGCACAGAAAGGGGCGGAAAAATCTATGGTCTTGCCAACGGAGCATGAAGGCGAAGAGTACTTTTGCCCTAGACGCTTCTTTGGGAGAGGTGAAGGATTTTTTTTGCAAAGATCGTGGGTTTAAATGCTATGGTGACACTCCATAGTGGTTGTGATCATGCCAAATCTCAGTCGTCCTCTCGTCTCCCATACATCGGACAAGGCCTTGCTTAAACACCTCTCTTCTCTGTATAATCGCACTCACGTAGTTGAGGTGTTGTTCAGACAACCAGCGCAAAGAAAGTAATCATCATGATAGTATTCATCTCCCAATACACATGTACACACATGTTATCAAGATTAATCAACAGCCTCCATGCCTGTTTTGCTAACATAGCATCATTGAACAATTCCAAGTCTCGAAAACCAAGTCCAACTATTTCGGAATTGACATTTTCTCCCAAGACTGATAATGAATGCCTCGTTTATTAAGTGATCCAGCCCACCAATACATGGACATGACGGCCCTAGCTTTTTGGCACAAGCCGTTTGTGATCTTAGACTAGTCACAGTGGGAAGTAACTTAGAGTAGTAACATGCATATATTACTAGTCTATGTTACTATCTTCACAGTGGGTAGTAAGATATGTGTTGTCTCATGCATCACTTCATTTATTACATAGTAGACTTATCTTTTCTTGATATGTGTGATGTTACAGTAATTAGCTATGTTACCACATGTCTCTTTTTCTTCATTAATTACATGTCATATCATCTATTTTGTTTAAATAAGTGTGATGTTACCACCTATATTACTCCCATTGTGGGTAGTCTTAATAAAACAACTTATAAACTAGGTCGGTAACACTTCATCACCGGCATTACTTGCACTTCTTCTACTACACAAAATACTATCCTCTCACACCAACCTTGTACCTTCGATCTTGCCTGCTAAAAATTGTTCAGACTATTGTTCAGTGATTCTTCCAGCCGCAAAGGAAGATCAAGGTATTTTTCTAACAAGGCCTCTTGTTTTTTTCCCCGACAAAGAACAGGGCCTCTTGTTGGATTAGCAACGCCTTTTGGGACTCCCACCCTAAAAGACGCCCCACAATTCGGGCTAAAGACCAACAAAATATTCAGCTTATTTGCAAACCATCAATTAGACGAGTCACACTCCTTCCATCCGCCATCATGAAGACCATGTAGTCGTTTGCGAAAAGGAATTAGAGCATCTTTAGCCGCGTACCTCTTCGATCCCTCAAACGCCCACGGACTCGCCCAGTCAATGACCGGGCGTGTCCGTTTTGAGCCCCTATTTGTTCATCCGCGTAGCCACAATCCTCATTTTCTTCCTCATATGTCCGGTCACTTGTACGTGATTGGTGGAGATAAAAAGAGAGAAATAAAATAATGAATAAAGAAAGAGAAAATATGATCCGGGGTGGGGTCGCGTCCTACGTGGCGGAATGTCCGGGCGCGTCCGCAAGCCCTCATATCCTCCCCATATATGCGATAAATGTGAGGGTTCGCGGATAGCCCGGGCGTATAGGGATGATATGAGGGGTCCGGTTGGGTCATGTTTTTCCTTCTCTCTCCTTCCAGTCACTGACCGGGAGACGTCCGGTTGTAGATGCTCTTAGACACCCGAGGGGACCGCAACCCTGCATGTATGCCTTTGTCAGTCCATTCCCTTGTCATAATTCTTCAACACGACGACGAACCTTTCCACCTTCCCCCCCTTCTCCGAGCCCCGTGTTGCCCCCCTGGTGCTGGCGGCGGCGGGATCTCTTCGTCCTCGCCTGGATCAGGGCCGCGGGGGGCTCCTCCTCGGGCGTGTCGGCGGATCTCGCAGCGGGGCGGCGCGGCGGATGGCACGCATACGGTGGCGGTGCGGGATGGCGCGGACTGCTGGCCGGTGGCGCCGAGTCGCGGTGGAGTGCGCATGCCAGTGGCGGCACGGCGCTCTTCGCGGCCGGGATCGATCTGGCCGGTTCTGCCTCGGTCAGGTGTGGGGGCTGGCTGCCATTGTGCGACTGAAGGATTGGTGCGACGGCGGTCCTAGACAGAGCTGTCAGCGGTGAGCTTTGGTGGCAGTGGCGCCGTTTGGTGGTGGCGGCGCGAGCCCACTGACAGCTGGTGGCGGCGGCGCTGTGGTGGCTCGGCCAAGATGGAGTCTTGGCGAGTAGGAGAGTGGCCGGTCACCTCTGTGCGGTGTGGTGAGCGTCGGTGTTCTCCCGGTGGCGAAGCTTGGTGCTTTGTGGAGGGCGGTTCCAACGGTCGCAAGGTCGTCCTTTCTGGCAATGACTTGTGGGCGGTCCTGGCCGGTGGTGCGGATGGCTGTGGCTCTTTGTCCAGGCGTGGAGTTTGGTGTGGTGGTCGGGGTCCTCTTGGTCGTGCAGCTGGTCGGCGGTCCTCGGCATTGTGACTACTTCTGCCTAGAGTTGTGGTGGCGGCGGTGCGAGGCGAATTGGACGGTGTGGCCCAATTCCAGGAGGCGTGGTGATGTGCGATGCGTGGATGAAAATCTTGCTTGGCTTCTGTCTGACCGGCGGTGATGTGATACGTCTCCAACGTATCTATAATTTTCAATTGTTTAATGCTATTATATTATCTGTTTAGGATGTTTAATGGTTTACGATCGAAAGTATGTCTAGAGGGGGGGGATTAGACTACTTGACCAAATAAAAACTTATCATTTTCTCAATTTTAGTTCTTGACAGATTTTAGCAACTTTGGACAAGTCAAGCAATCTTAACACAATTCAAGCAAGCCTGCAAAGAGTATATGAGCAGCGGAAAGTAAAGCATGCAACTTGCAAGAATGTAAAAGGAAGGGTTTGGACGATTCAAACGCAATAGGAGACACGGATGTTTTTGTCGTGGTTTCGATAGGTGGTGCTATCGTACATCCACGTTGATGGAGACTTCAACGAAGGGTAACGGTTGCGCAAGTCCACGAAGGGCTCCACCCACAAAGGGTCCAAGAAGAAGCAACCTTATCTATCCCACCATGGCCGTCGCCCATGAAGGACTTGCCTCACTAGCGGTAGATCTTCACGAAGTAGGCGATCTCCTTGCCCTTACAAACTCCTTGGTTCAACTCCACAATTTTGTCGGAGGCCCCCAAGTGACACCTAGCCAATCTAGGAGACACCACTCTCCAAGAAGTAACAAATGGTGTGTTGATGATGAACTCCTTGCTCTTGTGCTTCAAATGATAGACTCCCCAACACTCAACTCTCTCTCACATAGGATACGAATTTGGTGGAAAGAGGATTTGAGTGGAAAGCAACTTGGGAAGGCTAGAGATCAAGATTCATATGGTAAGAATGGAATATCTTGGGCTCAACACAAGTGTAGGTGGTTCTCTATCAGAAAAAGTAAGTTGGAAGTGTAGGTTTGTTCTGATGGCTCTCTCCACGAATGAAGAGGTGGTGGAGGGGTATATATAGCCTCCACACAAAATCTAACCATTACACACAACTTGCCAATCTCGGTGGGACCGAATCGTTAAACTCGGTCGGACCGATTCAGCAAAGCTAGTGACCATTACGGTTTTCTGTGGGACCGACATGCAACTCGGTAGGACTGATATGATTAGGGTTAGGGCATAACGTAATCTCGGTGAGACCAATTACACAAACTCAGTGAGACCAATTTTGGTAATAAGCTAACCAGAGAGTTGGTCAGGTAAACTTG